TTATATAGTCCAAACTTAACACTAAACACACTTGGAAGGTGGTATCTTGAATATTTCAGATATTACTGTCATCACCTAATCCTTATCGTTGGTCTCGTAAGAGTTGTGTTGGAATTAAAGTGTCTACGATGAGACACCACAATGCTGTAGCATTACCACTCAAACAACTTCCTTTCTGTGTCTGCATAACTCACCATGCATATTTCTAAATTGTCCTGCAGAACCTATCTGTTACTGAACATCTGTCTAATCAAATACATTATTCTCATGCGGTTTAATAGAATTTTGCTCTCGAATAATGCCCAAACATTTAACATAAAAAAATATAAAACCTACATAGAGCAAGCAATAAAACACATTTTGAAATAAATAACTCTCACTTTCAAACGTTCTCTGGTATTATGACTAGATAAACTATCAAGTTAGAGTGATGATAAATTCTTTTCTAACATGTGACCAAAGTACAATTCTCGTTCTTACAGATGTACATGTTTCATTTCCAAGACATAATCCACTTTACACTGTAACTCATAAGTAACAGGAAAGTGATCAATACTTTAAAATCTAAAATGGAGTCATGAAGGCCAGAAGAACACCAACAATAATGAACTAGACGTGCACCCTTGTTAGCAAAGCGAGTAAATGAACCTTCGAGACCCTCAAGGGATCTACCACTTATAAAGATCTCTGCATCAACATGTGATATAAGGCCATGCAAATACTTTGTCTAAATATCCTTAGAATAGGTCTTCAGCAACCCATACTTGTCGTAAACCGAATATGATATTTTACGACCGCTTTAACTAACGCACGGTAAACATTGGTTTCCTATATTTCAGTTCTAGAGGTAGAAACTATCATTTTGAATCTAATAGTCCTTATTATGATAACTGATGATTAAACATAAAAGTTTAACACTTAAAAGCAGATACTGAAGGTGAATAAAATAAATATGTACAATGTTGTATCTGTCACACATACACCAAAACTTTCAAAACCTTCTCTTAGTCCTAATGATACGTTAACTATTGGGCAGTTTGGTTTGGCAAGGACTAGGACTCGTGCCAATTTCCAACCCTGTATTTCATAGTAAATGTTGTAAATGGGCTGTTTGAGATGACAAATGACAAAGTTTAATTGCGTACGCATGTGTGTGTATATCGCAGTAAGGGACAATGGGATATGGCCATAACACTTTATTATTTCTTCTTTTTTATCTTTTTATTTTTTATTTTTTATTTTTTATTTTTTATTTTTTGATAGTAATTGTCAGATCATGTTACGACATATGTAGGTGTTCAAATTACCATCCTTTCCAAAAATAAATGTCTGGGAAAAAGTTAAAAATATCAGCTTGGCATCCAGAAAATCTAAAACTAAGTAAGTGGTATTCAAGCAATAGTCAAACAATATTTCATATATTGAACGAAAAAACGCTGGGGTACATGGATATTCTTGGGAATATATTTTTGGCACAGAAGACTGAGTTCTTGTAAATGTGTGGAGTATATAAAAATATTCATGATTCCAGACTTTTTTGTTCAGTTCATTAATCTCTTGCAAGTGACAAATACACACGTTTAGGTCTTCTGAAACCGAACAAATATGACATGGAATTCAAGGGACACAACTTTTTTCCATTTGTATTAAATGTTTTTATTCATTGTTTCAAAAATATATTTGTACTTCAATGACATATCTTTTCTTTAACTCTTGATTAAAGTGTTTCAATGTTGTTGTGGGGTTTTTTCCTTTTACACTTGTAAATGAAACAAAAATATAAGGAAATATTTCAAGAGTCCCATTGCATTTTTAGAACCAGGTAATTCATCTGCAGATAAATGTGAGTAATATTAGCAGTATTCCAACAATATCACAGCGATGTACACCAAAAATTGGCTTCACACAATTTACCAATGTGCGTCTTTTCGAGGCAAGGGAGTTTATAGTCCTTATTATGCTATCATATAGCAAAACCTTAAAATGTGCATTTTCCCGGGGCGAGGGAGTTAACTGACAGTAAAAGTAGTAACTGGACGTTTACAGTCAGTTAACTCCCTTGCCTCGGGAAGCTGTCAATGTGGGATGGACCCTGAACCTGCTGCGTGACGGGTCAACGCTTTAACCACTAGGCTAGCTCACCGGTTATTTGTGATTTTAAAAAGTGAAATTGATTGTAGTTAATATAAAACGTCATCTACGAATAATCAGTCTCGGAGAGGCACGTATAATGTAGATTCTATATGCTCTGTGTGTTGTTACCTTGTCTGAATGTTTGATATTGACGATTTCCATGAAACGTACGCCTGTATTAACGTTCGTAGCGTGTATTTAATCAATACCCGGTCGTATTCGTAACCAACCTACCTCGTGGCTACTCCATAACCCTCCACAGTTTGGTGGAGTTTGTTCAATATGGATATGCATATAATACGCTTATTAGACTAACCCGTCTTGACCAGTAATCTTTAAATACGCAACAGTTTCACTCGTGTCGTTTCCACTTTGAGAATAAAACCAGCAGAAAATAAGAGTTGTTTACTGATAAAAGAATACATATTTTACCTCCACGCCAATACTGATATGGTGATTGGATGGTACCAAGTACCCATATTACCCAATGACTACAATGGGACTCGGGTGGTTACAGAGCATGACCTGGATCATTGTATAGCATCTTCCCTGAATGTGGGGATCCTTGTGTGGCATCTACCCGGAATGTGGGGTTCATTTTGTGGCATCTACCCGGAATGTGGGGATCATTGTGTTGCATCTACCCGGAACATGGGGATCATTGTGCAGCATCTACTCAGAATGTGTGGATCATTGTGCAGCATCTACCCGGAATGTGTGGATCATTAGGTAGCATCTACCCGGAATCTGGGGATCGTTGTGCAGCATCTACTCAGAATGTGTGGATCATTGTGTAGCATCTACCCGGGATGTAGAGATCATTGTGTAGCATCTACCCGGGATGTGGGGATCATTGTGCAGCATCTACCCGGAATGTGTGGATCATTGTGTAGCATCTACCCGGAATCTGGGGATCGTTGTGCAGCATCTACTCAGAATGTGTGGATCATTGTGTAGCATCTACCCGGGATGTAGAGATCATTGTGTAGCATCTACCCGGAATGTCGAGATCATTGTGCAGCATCTACCCGGAATGTGTGGATCATTGTGCAGCATCTACCCAGAATATGGAGATCATTGTGTAGCATCTTCTTAGAATGTGTGGATCATTGTGCAGCATCTACCCGGAATGTGGAGATCATTGTGTAGCATGTACCCGGAATGTGGAGATCATTGTGTAGCATCTACCCGGAATGTGTGGATCATTGTGTAGCATCTACCCAGAATATGTGGATCATTGTGTAGCATCTACCCGGAATGTGTGGATCATTGTGTAGCATCTACCCAGAATATGTGGAGATCATTGTGCAGCATCTACCCGGAATGTGGAGATCATTGTGTAGCCTCTACCCGGAATGTGTGGATCATTGTGCAGCATCTAACCGGAATGTGGAGATCATTGTGCAGCATCTACCCGGAATGTGGAGATCATTGTGTAGCATGTACCCGGAATGTGGAGATCATTGTGCAGCATCTACCCGGAATGTGGAGATCATTGTGTAGCATGTACCCGGAATGTGGAGATCATTGTGTAGCATCTACTCAGAATGTATGGATCATTGTGCAGCATCTACCCGGAATGTGGAAATCATTGTGTAGCATGTACCCGGCATGTGGAGATCATTGTGTAGCATCTTCTCAGAATGTTTGGATCATTGTGCAGCATCTACTCAGAATGTTTGGATCATTGTGTAGCATCTACCCGGAATGTGGGGATCATTGTGTAGCATCTACTCAGAATGTTTGGATCATTGTGTAGCATCTACTCAGAATGTGTGGATCATTGTGCAGCATCTACCCGGAATGTGGAAATCATTGTGTAGCATGTACCCGGAATGTGGAGATCATTGTGTAGCATCTACTCAGAATGTTTGGATCATTGTGCAGCATCTACTCAGAATGTTTGGATCATTGTGTAGCATCTACCCGTAATGTGGGGATCATTGTGCAGCATCTACCCGGGATGTGTTGGTTCTTCCCACCCCAGTCTTACCCTCTCAGCATGTACGATGACATACAGATGACCGTTTCAAAACGAAAGGATTGTTTCTATAGTTTCTCATTACAAGTTAGTCAAGGCATTGGTGAACAGTCAAGAACGGTTGGTCACAATTAAGTGACACCGCAGTACGGTTATTTGGTCACCGTCCATTTGCCCCTAAATAGGGGATTCCGTGGACGCTTCAATGGATTCCTTCATCGATTCATCTAGACGTCTGGACACAGTTGTTGACCAGTTTCAAAGAGTTCATCATCACATAAACCCATCTGTTACCTAGATATTGAGATGTCTAGTTTTCATATCTATTAAAAAAGAATTGAATCTATGTGGACATACTCTGGCGGCTATGTTGATATACTTCGACGGAACTGTTAAATTGCTACTGTAAAACTGTTCAAATGCTACGTTAAAACTGTTTAAGTACTATCTACATTGATAGTCTCTTAAAGGACAACGTTCGGACTGTTAACGTGCTCTGTTGTATGTCACTAGTTGAAACTATGTTCAGGACAGGGATCCGGGTTAGAATTGCTCTTCAGCAACCCATGTTTGTCGTAAGAGGCGACTAACGAGATCGAGTGGTCAGGATTCCTGACTTGGTTGATGCATGTCATCGTATCCCATTCGCGTAGAAACCGATTTAAATCGCGCGATTGTTGAATCGATTATTTACGAACCGCCGTCATATAGCTGAAATATTGCTGAGTGTGGCAAAGAAATAGGCTGAAACTGTTTTCGTGCTTCGTCGGAAATGTTACGAGGCTACGTACTAGCTGTTAGGATTCCAGCTTGAACCTCGGTTAAAGTGTTTCTTCATATATACAACATGTTACATACAATAAATCCCTGTTACACAGTGAACCTCTTTTAATGTGCCACACTCTATTGATACGTTAGGATGTATTGAGGGTACATGTTTAATTACTATTACATTCAGTGTCTGTTCACGTGATGCTTTTCGTCATGTAGAGATGTCAGCTTATTCAATGTCTCTCTGCTTCCATATACGCTTTCAGTTCGTCGTCAATGATGTACACCGCCACACACGTCGTTGCTCCGAGAAGAGCGTTGTCGGCGCCGTCAAGACATACTTCAAACATCTCGTTACTCTCCATCTCCTGAAATGAGTGAGCAATAAGACTTGAACAGTGTAGTTTAAATGTCGGATGAATACCCCGTGTGACGCAGGTTCATCACTTCGAAAAAAACACATAAGCATCGATAAGGTTCGATTCCCGACATGGATACAATGTGTGAAGCCCATTTCTGGTGTCCCCCGCCGTGATATTGCTGGAATATTGTCTAAAAGCGGTGTAAAACCATACTCACTCAGTCACTATGTAAGGTTACAAACCAGGGATTTAAGTCAATTAATGGTCTGGTCTCGGGGGCTTTCAACAGGGCTTCGGCCTGACGAACTCAACAACTGAGCGAACGCCTTAACAACTGAGCTTCCACACCGCCCCCGAAACTATGTGTTGGTATCTAAACAGTTGGGCAAAATAAAATATACACGCATGTTTGATGGCGACTAAAAATGAAACAAACAAGAAATGGCCATGCGATGTTGATGTATTTGATATCAGTATCATAGTTGTGTTTTGGACCATAAATTAGTTAAATCCAATTTTGAGTGTATATTTTCTTTTGCCTGGCAGTTTTGTTGGAATCTGTGATTAAAGTTATTATTTACTCCCAGACTGATATACACCCTTCGGTCAGCAGACACAGTGGTGTTTAAACCACTTGAATTATATTTGCTGGGTTTTGTGCACCGAACTTTTACCACTTTCAGTATAGAGCATCATCGATCTTAGTCATAAATGTGCGAAAATGAGCTAACCATTGTCTATATTGCTAAACAAATGTTTTGATAACTTGTGTTTATATCGTTTTTAGGGGAGGTTTGGTGTTCTCACATCATCGACATGTCACAGTGCCACGTTATTGTCTCAACAATATATGTATCAACAAAATGTTGCTTTTTACATGAAACATTTTACAATAAAGAATAACGATTATTAATTTGTGGTTCGTTTTCTGTGCAATTAAGATATCATTTTATTCCGCCCCATTATACACATATTTTCACCACTTTGCTTTCTCTTTCATCATATAGACAGACCTGTGAAGATCCGGATTAGATTAGGTCTCCAGCAACCCATGCTTGCCGTAAAATGCATAGTCGTAAGATGAGACTAACGGGATCGGGTGGTCAGGCTCGCTGATTGGTTGATGCGTGTTTAACAACAAACAAACAAACAAACCTTTTCGGAATGCGGATTAGATCACCAGTATTCTTTTTGTAAAAGTGTAGTTGCAGTAAGAGGATTGGTGTCTACGAGACTTCTGAGACTATGTTGAGAACATGGAGTAAAAAGAGCTTCACTTTGAGCTTTGTTTGCTTTGAAGACCACTATTTTAGACTCTATAAAGTGGTATGTAGGTAGATATAATACTAGCCTGTTGATGAAAACACATTTCATGATACATATGTGAGGCTGTTGTTGCTTTATACCACCCTGACCATGTCTGACCGGGCACAGACCAAACACTCCTGATGGAGAGATGTTGAGAATGTAGAAGGAAAAGGGCTTCACTTTAACGGACCAGTTTTCTTTAAATACGACGTACTGTGAAATTATAAAGTGGCATATAGGTAGACATGACGCTATTCTATAAATGTAAACACATTTGAAGATACATCTGCGACGTTGATTTTGACAGCCCGGGCCAAGTCCGACCGATCACTTATGACAGAATATGTTGAGTGTGTGGGGGTGGGGTGGGGTGTGTCACTTTTTCAAGCGTGTCTGCTTTAAATACGATGAGGTGAGGTTAGATTGGGTTTAACGTCGCGTCCAGTATTATTGCACATATAGCGACGTGCATGCGTGCACGTGTGTGTGTGTGTGTGTGTGTGTGTGTGGCTGCTTGTACTAGTCCGGACTGATGCCGATTTATAATGCTAGCACACTGAGATACCATGCCGCAGATTAACATGAATACTCTGAGGCGACCAGTCCTTGTTTTAGCCCCTCAGTGCCGAACGCCAGACAGGGTAACAACAAGTACCATCTTTTAACGTCTTTTGGTATGACGCGGTCGGGGATCGAAACCCGGACCTTCCGCTCTCCGGGCGGATGCTCTACCATTAGACCACGGAGGCGGTCTTTAAATACGATGAACAGTGACATTATTAAGTGGCAGTTACTTAGATATAGTCGTCATCAATAGATATAAACGCTATGCTGGACAGATGGAAAGTTGTATCACGATAGTATTTAATACGTTTCAAAACCTGCTTCGTTTCACGATTATTCTTTTTCTCATAACCTCGCTCACCCAAGCTCACAAACAACTCGACTTCCTGATTTTAAAGATATTTACTCGCACTAACTTAACTATGCTGCACGTTTTTGGTTTGTGATTGTGCATTAATTCCATGCCTGTATGTTGCATCAATAATGTGTATGAATGGTCGCTGATAATGGAGTAACTAAATTTTATGTTAACTTTGGTTTGTCTTTGCCCGACCGGCCCGACTTTTAGGCACGCACGCACGCACGCACACGCACACACACACACACACACACACACACACACACACACACACTTTGGCTGGGTAGATTGCATGTCATAGTACCACGATAGCGTGTGACGTTAATCATAATATCATTATTTAGCTTGTATTGTCTCCGCCGTGATGCAGCAGGCATGTTGTCGAAAGCTGCATAAAACAACAAACAAATGAAACAAGGGACGATAACAATACACTCACATCGTCATCAATGATGGGGATGCTGATGTAGTGTGTAGTTTCGTCCACCTCGAAGGTAATGGTGCCTGGTCTCCCGTCGAAGTCGTGACCGGCTTTGGCGGTGTCCGGCAGTAGAGTGTAGTTGACTGTGGTCCGTCTGTCCGTCGGACCCTCACGGTCAATACGTACCCTCGCTACTGCATTAGGCTCCTCGTTCACCTCGTAGGGCTCCGTGTGGAGGAACACCCTCCCATCGTCATCTGGTTGTGAATACAATGCATTGTGATCATATTCACTAATATACTACTCGACTTGGAGTTTCTGAGCTATCAGGATCCGACAATTTTTAAAAAAATCTTGCTTCGAAAATGCTGGAAGAAATATTTTGTAAATAGGTTTTACACAACAAAAGATCGTTTTCAGGACATTTATATTCTGAAAAATAGTTGTTGGTTCCAAACTTTTGTTTGGCGCTTCCTCTCAGAGAAGACAGTTATATATATATATATTGAAGCACTGACTGAAAAGAAAACAAATCACACCAAAAAAAACGAATATTACATAGACGGGCACACATGCTGCAACTAACCAGAGATACTATTTATTTTTGTTTCAACCTGAAATGACCTGGGAATACGTCATGTCCATGTAAATAACGATAACGTTTACGGTGATAATATATCCTGGACACTCACTTAAAAAGTAGGTAGTATACACTTGAAAATTGCATTTGACCACAAATTACAAACAGTATCAAAACTATGATACCGGCATGAAATACATCACCATCGAATAAACTCTTCTTGTTTGTTTCATTTTTAGCCACCACCAGACATTAGTGTGTCCTTACTTTTGCCCAGCAGTTTATTTGAAATCAACGAAGTGTTGGCTGTAGGGCTATTTCATCCTATGCGAACCAACAATGACATCGATATAAAACACAATTAGGAATTATTATAGACGCCACGACCCAGCCACAACTGCCCATTTGAAGCACAGATTCATCATGACTATGAATCTTGGTCAACGAGAGCGCATCACCCGTGCTCATCACGGGTTTAACCGAGGTCTTCTGGGCTGGCCTACCATATTGCCCACTGTCCCAGTATTTATAACACGATGTAAAGATGTCAACAGAGGTGTAACCGTCTTCGACCTGTGCAACTGTGGGTTCTCATTAATCCAACACCAGCGTTAGAAATTGGCACTAGTCCTATAGTCCTTGCCAAACTGCCCCACAGTTAAGGTACCATAAGGACAAGTAGAAACTTGCCATTTTTAAGGGTTTTGCTATAAAGTTATCATTATAAGGACTAATGGAATGAAACTTTTAGTTTCTAACGCTGCTAACACGCCATGATGTTACTTAAGCATTGGTCAAAGTGACTTTAAATGGAATCTGCCCGGATATCGGTCGTTCGATCTCCTGGCCACGTCATACCAAAAGACGTAACAATATGGTATTAGTTGTTACCCTGGCTGGGCATGAAACAAAGACTCGTTGACCCGGAGTCTGAGTGGGGTATCCTTGTTAAACTGCGGCATGATATCTCAGTGGGCTAGCACCATAAAACCGCACAAGTCCGGATTATACAAACAGGGCATGCACGTCGCTGTATGTCCAATACTCTTGAACGCGACGTTAAACACTATTTCACCTCACTTCTAATTAAAAAAGTTCATGGTCATAAAAGTCGACGTGTACAATACCAACCTCCTGGCGGGTCCGCTCTAGCCGCCATGATGGCCGCAACTACGTAGATGCAGATAACCTTCATGTTGACACACTTTCTGTAAAGTAACAAAGCAAATAGTGGTTCGATTATTCTTGCAATCGCCATGAATTATGCATGTACTGTGCATCTGTATGACCTATGTCATTGTTTCCCACCAGTCGTGTCTCAGTGCACTTATTGAAGTTCCATTTTGGTCATGAGCAGCCATGACATCACACAGCATAAACAAGACACAGTGTGTAAATCCCCCAACAGGTAAAAACGTAAAGCATTTATTTAAACTCAAAACCTATCACGCTTCATAGCTTCATGGGTATACAAGCTACAAATAAAATTATACATCGTATACAAGCTACAACATAATATACTCATACCTCGTATACAGACTTCATCACAAAATCACACCTCGTATACAAGCTACATCATATAAACATACCTCGTATACAACCTACAACATATAAGTATACCTCGTATACAACCTACATCATATAAGCAAGCCTCGTATACAAGTTACAACATCTTATCTCACCTAGCATACAAGTTACAGCATATATTAATTCATATCTGGTATAAATGCTGCAACACAACAATGCCTCGCATACAAGCTACATCGCATAATCATACCTCGTATACAAGCTACAGCATATAATCACACCTAGCATACAAGTTACAGCATATATTCATATCTCACATACAGGCTGCTGCCTCGGTATTGAAAGAAATTGTATGTACAACATACGTTCCCGTACCGATTGGAGTCCGTGTATATATAGCGCTGCACTGCAAGTCTATGTGTACACGTCTGTACCCAAGTCATCTGTAAATTGTGTTGTCGTTGCATGCAGTTCTTCAATTAATAACACTTAATCTCCGGTATGGGTAAATGTGCCAATGATATCTGTTGTGATTGATTTTATCGTCGTTACTGGAATCCCTATGGCTTAAGGGGGATGAGCAGAGAACCAACATATGCTTCAGTGTAGCGATACTTTAAGGCACGGTGGGTAGACTGAGAAACTGGGGTCGTTCCACAAAAACGATGGTCTCGCTAAGGTGATCCTAACTCCCATAATTTAACAAAGACTTACGACTGTCGAAGATACCATCGCTTTCTGGAACGCGGCCAAGAATCGTAACTTGTCCGCAATGCTTATTGTTATTTCCTGTTCCTCAGGGGCAATACGTGGCCATGTGGTCTGAGCCGACCCAATCCGGTGTGCAGATGTGTGTCCCGTAGCAGCAAAGTTGACTAATGTTCGCTCTGATGAAGGGACTGACCATTTGAGTGAGTGAGTGAGTTGGTTTAACGACGCTTTTAACAGTATTCCAGTTATATCACGGCATGTCAGCTTAATGGGGGACGAAAGCCGATCTCAGACGTTTACCACTTCGGTGAAACCCACGAGCACGGGTATGGTGCTGCATCTGCAAAACCAGATATTTTTTAAATTAAAACTAAATATTTTGTGGCTGACAATTACTTGTTTTTCAACACTCAGAAGTACAGTTATTTTCTTCAAGCATTTTCTGCAACAATATATATTTTTCGAGAAAATCCCAACCCACACACTCCGAATATCAAATGAGATTACCAATCTGCACCATTCCCAACCTGTGTCACTGGGGGATTTTCTGTTGCGCTCATCCTGACCCGGCGTGAACTACTGTTCAAAGCAGCGTTAAACCCAACTCACTCACTATCTCTTGTCCCTTCGTCAGGCGAATTCGAGGAAATTGTATCGTTAATTGTATGTGAAAAATAAAATAACGATACGATAAAGCAGAATTTCATACGCTGATGCAGCTTCTAACAGGTATGGATGTCATCTATGGGATTACACCCGTCTCTCAGGTGTCAGAAATCTAAGATCATGGGTTCGAATCCCGATCCGCTCTGATAATGTTTCTAGGTTTTTCAACACTAAACCAGTGCTCGTGCGTTTCACCAAAGTAGTAAACGTCTGAGCCCTGCATCACTTTGGGGCTTTCCGCCAACAACACGCTGACACGCACTGAAATAACTGAAGTACTGTTCAAAGCGGCGTCACTCAGTCACTCACTCACTCACTCACCCGTGTTCAACCAATACGTTTCATAAGGTGGACAACTACACTATTTAATTGAGTGGTAGAATAGTTTTAAATGTTGCAGCAGCAATTTCCTTCTATTCGCTGATGAGATTTACCCGTCGATAACATCGGGTGCAGACGATTCGTTGAAGGGACGTTATTCAGTAATCCTCATTGATTTCATAGATTTAATCGTTTGTAATTCACGTGGGAGTAGATGGATTATCTTATTCTCATCCTGTCAAAACAGTGATTTAGAGAATATGATAAAATGTCAACTAAAAGTATAGTATAGGCACTTAAAATGCCCATGTAACTGTGATTTGTAAAAAGATACCTTTCAGTCCCTAAAACAAATGATCCAAAGTTTAATTTAAAATTGATGGGAATACGGTCAAAAGCCAGAGATTTCGTGCGTGCACTCACATTTCTATAGAATCCTGAATGTGACATTGTCGCGTTATCGCATTGTCGCACTTACAAAAGCAAGCAAAAAGTGTAAAAATTAACCAAAACGCGACAACGCGACAGCGCGACATTTTGGCCATTTGTCGCATTGTCGCGCGTTGGTAGAATAAAAAATGATTATTCAAAGCACGACATCATATTTGATCCGGACTTGCGACACTGGTGTTTATATTGTAATAGGAAAAACGTAGAACCTAATTAAGAGTCAGTGTCATATTTTGTGTCCCATTATGTGTGACGATATGCATCTAAAGGAAAGGACAATTATATATTCAAACCAGCCTTGTCAGATTGCTGCCGTTAATTGAAGATTGAGTATATCATATCATGGGGAAATCTTTGTGAAATGTCTACAAGTATGTGAGTTAATAGTGACTAAGTGAGGCGCCTTTATCAACAGTCCTGCGTGTTACAGCAGAAATAGGCTTCATACTTTGTACCCATGTTAGAAATCAAACCCCGATTTTCTGCGTGACGAGCGAACCATCCACCTGCCCAACTCTCCCGAGAGGGTTAGTAACCTTTGCCTGTTGTGAGAGGCGCGATGACATCGTTTATTTACAGAGCGTTAGCGAACAAATATACATTTCAACCTTAATCATTTGCTATTAATAATTGTCTTAATTGGATTTCACCTCCGTGAATCACAAGGTCATTCGCTCACCTTCTAGTGCGTCGTTCTTCAAATCCATATTATGGCTAAGTCTATCATAAGTAAACATAGTTGGTTGGTTGGTTGGTTGGTTTGTTGTTTAACGCCGCACTCAGCAAAATTCCAGCTATATGACGGCGGTATGTATATAATCGTGTCTGGACCAGACAATCAAGTGATTGATATCATGAGCATCGATCCACGCATTTGGGATCGACGACATGCATCAACCAAGTCAGCGAGCCTGACCAACTGTTAATCCGCTGACATTTCTAGTAGGTACCAAACTAGATAGCAAGTACTAGATGATACAAACAAGGAATGATAGCATTTTTAATATTGTCTATTTGCGAAAGACAACACATATTAAATCTGTAAATCCTCATCATGACACAAGCATATTGTACACTGGCGTCCCCAAAAGACTTTACCAGTGGGATGGGAGTCTTTGCCAAAACATGGACATCTTACAAACGTGTTCCTGCATACACTCAAATACTCTTGTTTGTTTGTTGCTTAATGCCGCACTCAGCAATATTACAGCTATATGACGGCGATCTGTAAATTTATAATTGAGTCTGGACCAAACAATTCAGTGATTGATATCATGGGCATCGATCCACGCATTTGGGATACGATATGCATCAACCAAGTCAGCGAGCCTGAGGCTTACTCTATCTGGAAGCGACTTGAAGGTAGCCATACTTGAGGAATCGCCGACACAATAAAGCTCCCCACAGTGGTGTTCTCTAATATTCCGGGACGGTAGCGTGGATGACAAGCGATTGGCGGAGATTTAAGTATGAACAAACCGATCAATGGATGTCACTCTATATCTAGATCACCACCACAATACGACCTTATACGACTTGCGGGACGGTAGCGTGGATGACAAGCGATGGGCGGAGATTTAAGTATGAACAAACCGATCAATGGATGTCACTCTATATCTAGATCACCACCACAATACGACCTTATACGACTTGCGGGACGGTAGCGTGGATGACAAGCGATGGACGGAGATTTAAGTATGAACAAACCGATCAATGGATGTCACTCTATATCTAGATCACCACCACAATACGACCTTATACGACTTGCGGGACGGTAGCGTTGATGACAAGCGATGGACGGAGATTTAAGTATGAACAAACCGATCAATGGATGTCACTCTATATCTAGATCACCACCACAATACGACCTTATACGACTTGCGGGACGGTAGCGTTGATGACAAGCGATGGGCGGAGATTTAAGTATGAACAAACCGATCAATGGATGTCACTCTATATCTAGATCACCACCACAATACGACCTTATACGACTTGCCGTGGGAGTATCACCACAAGCAAACAAAACATTTATCATTTTATGAGCGCTTTGATAAATTATTGTTAGTTACATTCATTCAATACAGTTACAATATACAAAATACAATATTCACTGTCATGTAACATATTACTGTTGTCTTTATTCAAAAAGAGTGTCTAGGCCATCGGCCAATATCACAGAAAGGTACAGACAACATGTTCTTTTCAGTGAAAAGATCTCGAAGTGATGCTGCATTACAAACATTCACAGCAAGCTGCTTTAATAGTGATTAGTTTTTGTTGACTTGAGTAAACTGAATTTATAAACAGACGAGTGAACATGAAGCTTCGAAGGTTAGTAAAATTTAATACATCTGATAGAATTGTATTTTTCACAGACAAGAGCGAAATGATATTTATCCTCAATATAACCAAATAAACAATCTTTCATTTCTTGGCTCTTGGTTGTATATGCCTGGCTCTATTCTTAGTTATTGCGAACTGCATCTGAGCCCTGCGAAACAGCGCCTAAATTTATATACTAAATATATTACTCCATGACAATCGCAACTGTCTGTACACCCCTTACGACTGACTGTACACCCCTATAAAACTAACTGTACATCCCTGTAAGGCTGACTGTACATCGCCTGTAAGGCTGACTGTATACCCCTTAGGACTGACAGTACACCCCTTACGACTGACTGTACAACTCTGTAAGACTGATTGTACAACTCTGTAAGGCTGACTGTACACCCCTTAAGACTCACTGAACACCCCTTAAGACTGATTGTACACCCATGTAATATTGACTGCACAACCCTTTAGAGTGACTGTACACCCCTTAAGACTGACTGTACACCCCTATAAAACTAACTGTACATCCCTGTAAGGCTGACTGTACATCGCCTGTAAGGCTGACTGTATACCCCTTAGGACTGACAGTACAACCCTTACGACTGACTGTACAACTCTAAGACTGATTGTACAACTCTGTAAGGCTGACTGTACACCCCTTAAGACTCACTGAACACCCCTTAAGACTGATTGTACACCCATGTAATATTGACTGCACAACCCTTTAGAGTGACTGTACACCCCTTAAGACTGACTTACATCATGTAATGTTGACTATACAACCATGTAAGACTGACTGTACAACCCTTAAGACTGACTGTACAACTCTGTAAGACTGACTGTACACCCATGTAAGACTGTCTGTACACCCCTTAAGACTGACTGCTCAAACCTTAAGAGTGACTGCACACCCCTTAAGAGTGACTTTATACCAATG